CGCGATATGGTTCATGGGGTCACGAAGAGTCGGACACGACTTAACGACTGAACAATAACAACAATAGCTAGTTCTATATAAAAAGCTATTTTTTAGGAGAATGCTAATCTCTGAATAATTGTTCTATCAGCAGTTGTATCAATGAAATTTTTAGCGATTTAAGCTCTTCACTTCTAATATTCTATATTTTATTTTGAATGTATAGATATCCAACTGTTACTTCTGTTGCTCTTTTGTTGGTGTATGGATGTAAAAAGCAGATAAATTCATATATAGTACATTCTTTGCTTGAGTTTAATCTTGTCAGCAAGTCCACATTGTGGCTTGATACATTTTTTCCTAATTCCTAATTATTGCCTATTCTTATGCCTTATGTTGAAGACAGCTTTACTTAGAATAAGCCTATGCATTTGTAGCATTCAACATTTTTGGCTAATTGCCTCTATCTACTTATCTTTTCAGCAGAAGAAAAGAAAGAGGAAAAGAAAGAAGAGTCTGAAGAATCTGATGATGATATGGGATTTGGATTATTTGACTAAAATTATGAGTTAATCTAATAAATATTTTTCAAAGATTGTGCATTGTTGTGAAAATTTATAAGCATGAATATTCTTGGTTGATACTGCTTCAAAAGTTGGACCTGTGCAAAGGAAACTAGAATATTGCTATTGTGTGTTCCTTATGATGGGTTTTGAATATTTTGTCACATTTTAAAGTTTATCACAATTTTAAAACTTAAAATGCTTTCTAGTATAAGTTAAATCCTTCTTATCTTTGTTACATTTATGATATTAGTTTGGGTTTATACACTGTACAGAACTATTGTACTTAACCATGATTTATTGCATAAGCCACCAGTTGGTTGGGTTCTCACAGAATTTAGCCGTAAACCATGGATTATGGACCGCCATGGCTGGCTTGACATACCACACTAAGCTAAAACCAAGCTGCATTATAGCTTGTGATGTTTGAACCAGTATTTGAGATATCTTGTATATACAGTATGTTCTAGGTGTACTCCAAAATCTTAAGGTGGTCAGTCCATGAGAAAGTATTCCTTTATGAATTAGTTCCTAGACCCTGTTTACTGCCAGCTCCAAAATGTCATCATGTGACCATATGACAGAAGTTGGCATTGCTATCCTACCAAGTTGTTTTAATACTGTTTATAAATGGATAGAAGATGTGCTAACTTGAAAAGAGGACTAATATAACATTACTATATTTTAAATAGATTGGTAAAGGTAAGCAAAAAAAAAAGGCCAGACATAAAAGGTTTGGATGGGAGAAATAATGTGTGGTGCCCAATTGGATTCTTCTTGATGGTCATGGCAGAAAAAGCTTTCTTTTCCCAGAAATTACATGCTACTTAGCACAATTTTTTTCTAGTCTCTACTTCATAAATATGCAATAGCTATATTAAATATGGTATGGCCAAGCAAAAAAACCCCAATTGCATGTAATGTTTTGTACCTACGGACATCCATGCCTGTGCCCTATTCCTGGCATAAGTATTTGTGGCACTTGGTGACCTATATGAATATGACATATGAAGAACAAGTAGGTGGCACTTAGCTATGAAGGTTTTGATTAAGCCATTCCTGGAAGGTTAAGTAGAGAATAATTCCTTAAAAACATAGGAAGCCATCTTACATTGAATCAGATTATTGGTACAGCTTGTCTAGTTAATGTTAGCTACATTCACATAAGCCAAGCCATAATATGCTTTATTTGGGTTTTGCTTAATGTGCTACGTGCTTTCAGTTTCTCTGGTTTGCACACTGTGGTTTATAATCAGAGCAATATCTAAATTGTCAGTAGAATTCCTTTTTCTAGCATACCTAGATATTCCAGGAGCCTACATGAAAAGCTTGTTTTGGTTACTGGTTTTCTGAGGTTATTTTCTGAATCTCAAATACATTTGACTGCAACAGATAATCTGACTTTGAGGCATATTCTCAACAGTTATATACAGACTGTATTTTTCCCTGTAAAGGATTCCTTAAATTTATAGTGTTTATATTTTAATTGGCCTAAATACAGTTGATATAATCAGATCTTTAATAACAAATAGTTGCATCTAAAAAGATAACCTTGCAGTTCCTGTTCAGGAACACAGTGATAGACTGGATGTGGTGAACAAGTTGGGGTTTAATCAAGACAAAGGGCCCACTGGCCAGTAAACAAGCCATTCCAAAGTTAAGAATACAACCTGTTCTGGGATAGCTACACTCCTAATGAAGCACCAAGCATGTACATTTGAGGGGAATGCTGCTTTTAATAGGTCAGGTGGCAACAATGACTAGAAATGCATTTGTGCATCTTCAACTGAGCACCTTGGGGAAGGAGACCTAGTTTTAGTAATCAGCTTTTAATTATATCCTGCCTAAGTCTAAGATCTTCCAATGAAGTCCATCTGCCTTGCTGCTCGTCATTTTCTTCCCACTTTTCCCAGCATTAGAGACTTCTCAAGAAAGCGATGTCTTTGTATAATGAATTCAGAATATTGTATGTAATGTGCTCTATACAGTGTTGACCTTCAGAAGTTCTGGAAATTACAGCTAGCATGTAATGTGACAAGGAGGTTGCTGCCATGGAATTTTAAATAACTCTTCCAGTTGGTCTCCATGCCAATTCAAAGAGCTGTTTTTTACCTATAAAACTAAATTACCTGGTGTCAGACTGAGGGATTAATTACTAGGAACCTATTTGTAAGGTTCTGCATTTCTAATGTAGATGTCATTAGAGGCCCTGTTATATATTCCAGTATCTACAAGTTGGTATGGACTCAAGATAGATCCTTTTCTGTTACTGCATCCCAAATATGAATCAGTTTCCAAACTAGCCCAAAACTATGCTTTAGACAAGAACTGGGTTGCTTTCAGATCAAGCTCACTCCTGGTGACTTCATGAACACGTTTATGTAGTTTTCTGAGCAGTAGTATGGGAGTGGTTTTCAACTGCCTTGTTTATGGATTTCTTTTTCCTACTTCAGTTTAGCCTACAGCCCTGGAATTTCCTAGTATTGCCAAGTCTGATCCTGCTTAGGTTTTTAAGTTCTCTCATATTTAATGTTAACCTTTTGCTTGAAGTGAAACTAAAACTTTGAGAGTACAATCTAATTAGCCGCATGCTGGTCATAGTTCAATTTCATTAGAATACAAGTACTGCATCTTGTTATAAAAGGTTATACAAAATATCATAGTTATGTATATACAGATCAATCACAGTTTAAAAAAAAAAACTTTAATACTCATGAAAAAACTCAAGCGCTATACAAGAATGTTTGTCATAGCCTCCTCAGGAAAAATGGCACCTTTTCTGTAGATGGTGCTCTCCAGCTTTATGGACTATAACTCCCATCTTCATCTAGCCAGGAATTGTAAGTAAGCACATCTAGAATGCACAGCCTGGGAAAAGCCAGCATACTGAGAAACAAATGAGTACACGGTGCTTTGGGTGAAGTGCAAAGGCAAATCTCTACTATACTATGGACTTATTTGGCTTTGGAATAAAAGATGGTTAATTTGGACACACAGTGAAGGGGAGAGATTTTTGGGATCATGTTTTTAATATGGTGAGAAAAAAACTACAGCTAAACTATATACAGGAAAGACTTGATAGCTGTTTGTACTTCTAATGCATTGGTTGCAAAAGCCCGGTGTTACCAAGGCAAATTTGTAAACTGCCATTAACACCTACTTTTTGGCTCATAAACACATATGTGATTTATTATTATATGTGATAAATATTTCTTATCCAGTGCTCAGAGGACAAGATTGCAATTGCTGACTCTGAAAGATATTAAAGGGGTTGATGGTTGCTTGGAAGGAGAAAGCACAACATGATTTTAACCGGACCAGCTATCCCCTCTGCCTTCTTAAAACAGCTCTGCGTAGGATGCCTATATACACGCTGAATCAGCCCAGAATAAGTACAAACCTTCAATATATGAACAGAAGTAAAAATGTAACTCCATCTTTGTGCTATAAAACAATAGCTTGGGCTGTAGGAGATCAGAGTTCAGTTCCAGAGGTTTATTAAAGGCTCCAGATGAGTTCACATTTAATCCTTAGTTCACTTGGTTAAGAGAGAAAATGACTGATCTAAGACATCATGTTCTATGTACCAGTCTGGCCCTAATATGCGTGCATAATCTGCTTTACCCTCCTCTAAAGGCATGGGTGTGACCGGTGACATTCCGCCCACATTTATCACTGTAATTTTTCATGTGATAGAACAGTGGAAATACTAAATGTATTGCGAGCCTTCACAGTGTCTCCATTTAATGAAGTTTTAATTAAATTTAAGTTCAATCTGTTTTAGTGTTTGCCCTGGTTTCACCTGCTATTTGGTCCCTGACACGTCATTCAAAAGAAATCATATTGGGCACCTCCATGCAAGGATCAAAGAACTTGAAATGAAGTGTCCCATAGAAAAGTTACTAAAATCCACTTCAGAGATACAAGTTACTGTGTCTCAGCTTCATTCATGAAGATACCCAGATACAAGCAACCACACCTGACAATTCCTCAGGCATACCCAATTATCTTTACATTATTTTTGTATAAAAAAGCATTCATACTGGTCCAACAACCACTGTGAATCCATTTTCTTCCCACACTTCATAGTGAGATTGAAATCTTGAAGCAAACTGGGATGTAAATACCACTAGGAGATTTTGCATAAGCAGCTACAGTATGCTATATATTCAGGATTTAATGGAAGAGATATTAAGCTGGTACCTTGACAATCATTCAATGATCATAAAGATTTAATGAGTCAATTTATAAACTGTCCACCAGCAACAAAACTGTTAGCCAAATACTGTTTTAGAATAAATTCAGTCATGGACTAAAATGAACTGTAGTCTAAAAAAGCATACACACTTTAATAAATGCTAATAAATATAACATAAAATAAAATGCCACAATAATATTTTTAGTTATGTTATGAGCAATTATTTCTAAAAGGAGCATGTTAGACTTTTGATAAACATTCTCCGACTCTGGCTAAACAAGCTGCTTAAATCTGCTCTGTAGGCTTGAAAGAGGTAGAAAAGTGAAAGTCCATTCCCATGGATTATTTCTTCAAATGCTTAATAGCAAATGTGACTTTGAAAGATCAGATTACAGTACTATGAATTTATATACTTTAGGTAATGACCCATTAAAATTAACCTAGGATAATTTTATCAGAAGGATTAAAACGTCCTTGGCAATTAATTGTACTAATTTTCACATAAGCACATAATGACAGTGAATTCATTTAGTCTGCAAACATCCCAACAGCCCTAACATCTTTCAAAATTTTCAGGAGTCTTCTGGATGGAGAAATAGGCCAGATGAGAGTCAAAACATGCAGTGAAAACCTGTCAGTACTGAGCCAGGGCAGATACATGGTTCTCCAGCCCAAAAATACCACAGAAAGACCAAGTGTTCAGCTTGGAAGTGTTCTTAGATCCAATACTGTCTCCTGAGGTCCAAGTGGCCCACAGCATCTTCTATCTGCTGTGACCTTTTCTAGATACAAACAAACTGGCTACATTTCCATTACTGTAACATGGTGCCTGTTGATGC